AAACCCCACATTTAATACAACAGTATTGTCGTCTCACGCAATTTTATGCAAGATAACTAGAGAAGGAAATAAACTAGAAAATCCATATGCATTCAACACATAAATTCAAATTCTATATGCAGGAATGACCAAAACAAAATTATTCCAAAAAACTTCCATGTCAGTAAGAGTCGACAAATTCAAATTTTGTGTGTGTGAGAGAGAGAGAGAGTAAACCCCACATTTAATACAACAGTATTGTCGTCTCACGCAATTTTATGCAAGATAACTAGAGAAGGAAATAAACTAGAAAATCCATATGCATTCAACACATAAATTCAAATTCTATATGCAGGAATGACCAAAACAAAATTATTCATTTAAACTTCCATGTCAGTAAGAGTCGACAAATTCAAATTTTGTGTGTGTGTGAGAGAGAGAGAGAGAGAGTAAACCCCACATTTAATACAACAGTATTGTCGTCTCACGCAATTTTATGCAAGATAACTAGAGAAGGAAATAAACTAGAAAATCCATATGCATTCAACACAGAAATTCAAATTCTATATGCAGGAATGACCAAAACAAAATTATTCATTTCTTTCTTGGGTTAAACCATTTAACACACAAAAAGCATATAAATTGTTAGCATTCTTTTTACTTTTTTTTTTTTTCCGTCTAATTTTTCTCATTTTACAGACTAGTTGTAAATATTTATAAATCTCACTGTTCCAAAATTTTGTTGTCATAAATATTTTCAAGGATATTGGAAGTTCTCAAAGAATGATACGTTCCAACTATCATTTTAATAACTAATAAATATCTTGCAAACATTTTTGAGGGAGCAATTCTAATCCATCTTTCTGTTCCAAAAGCTTTCAAATCCGACGGTTAAAAGTCTGCAATTTTTACCAACCCAATCAAATGATACGTTTATTGTGGCGCCATGGAAACCCAAAAAACAAGAGCATGACCAGTTGATTAAAATAGAGGGAAGTAGAGTAAATGGCCAGTATTACTTGAAAATATTTGTTCTCAATAGTCACAAGATGATAATGTTAGTTTTCACTGCAGAAAAAAAGAAGGTACAATGATATGATCCACCAGAAGGTAATTTTGCTACACTAACTATTCTAATCATACAAAACAGCAAAGGTCCTGTATTTTGGTAAATATTATGTGGAGCTAGAGAAATGCAGCTCTATCAAGCCAACTAGCAGGAAGGGTCGTATCAGCATTTCCATAATAACAGTTTCAGATGTGCAATAATAATAGCTTGTTGCTACTAGGAGGAGCAAAATTATCACTACATGAAATAAACCGATCAATCTTCAGGGATATTCAGAGTTCAAACTAGTACGGTAACTAATTTAAGAAAGTTACTTTCACTTGACACAATGAAATTTCTCTGGACATTCACATACATTCTTAACCTAAACAACGATTAGCTCAGCGTGCAGCTGACAAAATTTCTTGGTAGACCTTTCACCTGCAGTTAAAGACTTCTTTAACCTACCTTCCAACTGCATATGGCAATTGGCAACCAACAATACACATTCCAATTGCAATCAAAGGCATTTAAGGTGACAATTAAGCTTATAAAGTAGTACCAAGTATAACAAGTAATCAGAAATCAAGTAAAAGCCCGAGGATATTCCATAATTCACATAGATGGGTGAATCAAATTTGACAGGAGAAAAGACGATAAGGAAAAAATCCGCCTGAGTTTTATTTCACGGTTGAACTTTTTAGCAGAACTGTTGAACTAGATACTGGTCTTACACAGTATTACCACCATAGAAGAAACCAATTGGCTGTAAATGGGTTTACAAGATCAAATATAGTTTAGATGGGTCTATAGAATGTTACAAGGCATTCTTAGTAGCAAAAGGTATACACAAGTCGAAGGTCTAGATTACAAGGAGACGTTTGCACCATTAGCAGAACTCCACTATCAGATGTCTTCTCTTGGTAGAAACTGCTCGTGGATGGTCCCTATACCAAATGGTTGTGCAAAATGTTTTTTTGCATGGAGACTTAAAAAGAAGAAATTTATATGTTACGTTTACCAGGGTAGAGTCAATAGGGGGAACACTCTTTGTCGACCACAGAAGTCCTTGTATGGCCTCAAGCAGGCCTCACGAAACTGGTATGCTAGATTTTTCAAAGCCATTTGCAAGGTAGATTTTGTACAATCTCTAGCAGGTTACTCACTTTTTACAAAGTACGTCAACAAATATTTCACAATTGTATATATTTATAGATGACATGATGATAGCAGGAGATGATGAAGAAAAGATTATTAACCTCAAACATTTTCTTAATACGCAATTTTAGATCAAAGACCTTGGAAAATGAAATATTTTCTCGGTATTGAAGTTGCACACTCGAAGAAGGGAATCGCCATTTCACAAAGAAAATATGTGCCGGACATGTTAGATGAAGTGGGCCTACTTTTAGCAGCTCCAATCAGCTTTCCCATTGAACAAAACCTTAAGTTGACTGCTACAGAAGGTAAGCCTCTTAAAAATCCAACACAATACTGGTGGCTAGTTGAAAAGCTAATTTATTTGACTATTACCAAACCAGACGTTCAGTTCATGTCAATTTACTCCGCCATTTCATGCATGAACCAAGAAAGTCACTTAAATGCAGCTATAAGATTCCTCAGATATTTGAAAGGAAGTTCAGGCCAAAGTTTATTTTCTCCAAAGCAGAACAACATGAAATTTATCATTTTTTGTAATGCTGACAGGGGATCTTGCTCGATAACTAGAAGATCACTCATGGGATATTGTGTTTTTCTCAGATGTGAACTAGTTTCATGGAAGATCAGGAAACAGAAGATAGTCTCAAGGTCCTCAGTAGAAGTCGAATACAGAGCTATAGCAGACGTGACTTGTGGATAGTTTTGGTTGAGGTATATATTCAAGGATCTTAGAGTTGATTTGTTAAGTCCAGCAGTTTTCCATTGTGACAATCAGGCCGCGCTGCACATTGCAGTAGAGATTGATTGTAATGTTGTTAGGGAAAAATTTCAAGGAAGTTACTTGGTCACTACTTATCTCTCTACGAAAAAACAGTTTATTGACATTTTTATCTCTCTACGGAAAACCAGTTTATTGACATTTTTTACCAAAGCATTGGGACTTGATAGCTTCAAAGGACTTGTATGCAAGTTCGGAACCAGTTTCAACTCGAGGGGGAGTGTTAATATTCAAATTCAAATATTCAGTGACGCTACAGGAAATAAGAATAGTTGAGATCTGCTTTTCACCAAATCCAGTTGCTTTGAAGTTTATATTTGAATATGTCACCAGTTCGAGTCCTCTCAGGGCCACTAAAGTGAGTATCTAGTTGTAAACTTCAAGGCCCCGTGAAATTAGTCGAAGTATGCATAAATTTGCCAGTAGACCTATGGTCATAAAAAAAAATAATAATAATAAAAATTAAAAAAAAAAATACACACACACACACATATATATGTATATGTATATGTATACATATATTTGAATATGTTATCAACACTCTAGATTATGAGAGATTTTAGAAAGATAGTTTTTGATAAGGTTGTATATATACAAACCTCTGTAATTATTTCTGTAGAAAAAAGAATTATTCCTTGTTCTCCAAGAACAATCAAAACCCTGCCTCTATTTTTTTCAATCTTCCAACTGCATATGGCAATTGGCAACCAATGGTACACATTCCCATTGCAATTAAACGCACTTGAGGCGAAATTAAGCTTATAAAGTAGTAAAATGTATAACAAGAAATCAAAAATCAAGTAAAAGCCTGAGGATATTTCAAAATTCACATTGTTGAGTGAATCAAATTTGGCAGGACAAAAGATGGTGAGAAAAAAAACGTCTGAATTAGATTTTATTTCATAGTTCCAACTTTTTAGCAGAACTATTGAAACAGATAAGGACTCTTATATTAACATGTATCTGGTGCATTTATCTTAAATCTGTCATAATGGGAGAAACCTCCTTTACTTGCCTACTTCATTTTTAACTAAGCATGTCGAATTTCTAATGTAGGAAGTGTCCCATAGCTCAACACCCGGGCAATCAAGATAACCCAGCGTGCAAATTACTAGAGTTATTAATGCCAATCAGCTACAAGGTCTAATAATAATCTTGTGAGAATTTATGCCTGATGCAAAAAGTGCATTAGCAAGTAGCAACATTTTTAAATTACAAAATGAGTTATGCAATCTGAAGAAACAGAAGCATCTGGGAACCAGTGAACCAAAGTAATCACGAACCTGGACATGAGAACAATAGATCCACATGCAAGCCCACCGTTCTTAAGGCACCAAAATGTCACATAAAAAAAAAAAATAGTCTTCTTTCTAGAGTCACTGGCCAGAGAAGGAGATATTGAATAATCTAATTCAACGATTGCGGTGCTCTAATAAGTTTTCATGGTCTTTTCTGTTTGATATGACAGTCCATGCATGATCATAGACTTACAGTCATTCGTATTTCACAATCTTACAAAACTTTTACACTTTTCCTAGAGTCACTGGCCAGAGAAGGAGATATTGAATAATCTAATTCAACGATTGCGGTGCTCTAATAAGTTTTCATGGTCTTTTCTGTTTGATATGACAGTCCATGCATGATCATAGACTTACAGTCATTCGTATTTCACAATCTTATAAAACTTTTACACTTTTCATTTTGATGCTTATGCAAGAAGGAGATATTGAATAATTTAATTCAACGATTGCGGTGCTCTAATAAGTTTTCATGGTCTTTTCTGTTTGATATGACAGTCCATGCATGATCATAGACTTACAGTCGTTCGTATTTCATAATCTTACAAAACTTTTACACTTTTCATTTTGATGCTTATGCCTCACTTTACAATTTATGCCTTTCTATACATTGATAATCATGAATTATTTGTGCAAATGGCAGGAATCACTTTAAACAAAAATATTACATGGGTTGGCCAAATAAACTAGTTTTTCAATCTTAGAGCTTGCTTATTAGTGCTTAAAAGTTGCAGGTCCTATAGAACATGAGGATAATAAATATCAAAATAGGTTTCAATAGTTTAATTCACAACATGCACTTAATGTTTAAGAATTTATAGATCATGTCATATGGGATAGGTTGTTTAATGCTTCAACCACTGCCCTATGCAGTACAAACTACAAAGCATTCTACAGGCAATGAGACCTAAAAGACATGAGACAACCCACTAAGAAATTTGAACTAGCATCTACAATGGAAACCAGAATACATGCACATCATCATTGACAAAAGGCAAAGATGGTAATGACAATGTCTTGATTTGATAAATACAAGTGGGTATTGCATCAGAGAGGCTGTGACTTTTCCATTTGTTTTCTACCCTTTTCTTTTGTGCTCCTTTTTTGGTCCCTTAAACGTGTTAAAGAAATACTTCCGCGCAATACCTTTTTCCTTTTTTGATAGAAAAACTTCTGCGCAATACTTGTTTTTCTTTCCCAAGGAGGTACAAATAATCAAAACACAAGATAAGCATTCTATTATTTTATTGAAAAATCTAAACTATCATAGCAAGCTAAAAGTCACCGAGCATGCTTCTCATATTGTGACAAGGTTATCAACAAAAACTCCAAAGGCAATACAAAAACCCATAATATGTATGAACCCTATTATGCATGTGCACCCAAGACCCAACATATCAGAATATGTTACCCAAATATCAAGGTGACATGATGCGATGGTGATTTCCCACACACACACACACACACACACACACATATATATATATAACAATATTGGAATGATAGCTACAACAAAATTCTTATAAATCATGGTTCACATAGAATTGACAGAGCCTATGCCTATAATTACGAATATTAATGTTTATTCATCTCAAAGTTCCTCCTCAAAGAGAGCTTCATTAGCATTTCAATTGAACACGTACATAAAAAACTAGAAACATTTTTAGCTTTCACTAGGTATATCTTTCTCCCATCTGCTGCTAATTCAATAAATCAAAATATTTAAATAATCAAAACCCATCCAGAAATTAAGCAGAACTGCATATGCCACCTCAAATTTCAACAAGCAAGAATTAACATTTTTCACAACATTTTTTTAATATCCACCAACAGATAAATCAAGTTCATAGATCACTAATGATCGGTGCATGCAAAAATTAAATTATTTTTCACTTTAAAATAATTGGAGTACAACAAAAAACCTGTAGAGCTCTTCGAAGCTAAGGCCACTGGCGTTTTGATTGTAAATCTCATGAATTGCGTGTTCCAGGATCTTCCATGTTTTATCAGCATACTTCGGATCCACTACCACTTTATGCTTGAAAGCCTCTATCTGAAAATTCCTCTTCTTTTGCCCGCTATTCATCCTTTTTCCCCTTATATGGAATACCCAAAATCAAAAAACTCCAAAACCTATAAAACTCAGAAGAATTCTAAAAGTCTGGAATTATTTTCATCTCCTATCAATCTACAAATCTGATTTATTTCAGAAAGGTGTTAATTGAAAAAAATAAAAATAAAATAATAACATAAAATAAAATTATAAAGCAGAGGCAAAAGAGGAGATTTAGGTTTTGAAATTGGAGGGAGAATAAAGAGGAAGATTGAATTGTACGTTTAAACCAATCCTCTGAAAATGGGTTTTGGTGCAGAAATGATTGAATTGTGACTCTATGGAAACAGGTTACAGTATATTGATCGATAGAAGACAAGTATACTTGTTAATTGTATTTTCTTCTGTATATTGTGTTTTCTCGTAGTTTCTTTGGTTGGGTAAAGAATATCTAAAAGGAAATCAAGATTTCGTATATTACATGAAAGTTGATAAAGTTTAAAGTCCTCACTTTAACTATTAAGAGAGAGAAATGTCTTAATGAGACATCGTATTTGTACATACGATAAGATCATCCACTTAAATCACAATATCTTAGACATTGAGTCATGCAAATCGCAACACCAGAACACTCGAGGTAGTAAGAGAAATAAAGGTGTGGGACGTCGACATATCACATTTTGAATGACTTCAAGGTATGAGATTTCTGATTGTATGGATGACCTGATCATATGTGCATATAAGATTGTTTTACCAAAATTTCCATATTAAGGAGGGGAGTAAAATCATAACAAGGTAACTATACCGAAAGTTGCAGTTGAATCACCACTGTCTTGGCTATTTTAATTTGACACATCCAATTTATTATAAAGATGTTTTATTTTGTTTTCCAGTAGCTCTGATTACCAAACCTTTGAAGAAGAAAGCATATTGATTCCTACTAATTTTTCTAGATATTGAACATCTAAGCTTCTAATTTTGTAGCATTTTTCAAGTTTCATTCATAAATTCATTCTAGAAAAATGTTAAAATGCTGCGTAAATTAGTGCATGAGACGTTCTTCCATTGTCTCCTTATATATGAGTGTTTATACTAGGGATGACAATTTGAACTGTTAAAATCGAAAACCGCAGTTAACCGAATCGAATAGGGCAAAAAAAGTCGAACCGATGGTGCAATAAGACAGATATGGTATTTGATTTTAATGAACCGATTTGTGGCAGTGCGAGTATGATATTTATGCCGTCGAACCGAAACCGAATCGATTACCCGCTTAAAAAAAAATTATTCTTTTATTAGGGATGACAATGTTTAGTGAGAAGGAAGTTGACGAAGAGGTCCATTTTTTTATTTAAATCTTAGTTAAAACCATTCTGGATTAGGTAGTATCGTTGTATTCTCTACTTATATTTCTTATTTACTATATTTGAATCAATTTTGAGTGTTGACCTATGCTAATAAGAGTTGTGGGGAATAATGAAGTCTGAATATGAGTTAAGGTTTGAGCTTTTGACTTATTGAACATGAATCAATTAACTATAATGCACAAGAATCAAGGATGAAGGAAAATTTTAGTATTGTTATATTCATAACATTGTTTGTTAAATTTGTATTTTGCAATTGGAATTTGGGATAATGTTTGCATTTTCGTTTGAAATATTGTGTTTTTGTTTTCATTAACTATTTTTTCATAAATTATTTTATATCAATTTGATGAATGAACCTATAAACAATAATTTATTTTTGTGGTTATTAACCGAACCAAATCGAGTTACGAATCGAATCGATTTACATGGTTATGATGCAGTTATGGTATAACAAAAAATTTGATGGTTCGATGATGATTTTGGTCGAACCAAACCGAAATCGAACAGTTGTCATCCACTAGGGGATGGACGAATAAAATTTACATGTAACAAAAAAATCGTGATATTACGCTACCTATTAATTCTGTGTTCATCACAGATTTATAGCATAAAATTCATATATAGTTGAATTTACATCTAATATCATAATAAATTCTTGTTCATTATAGAATGTTATATAATCACTGAGAACATCGTCATCCATTTTTTTACGAATTACCATCATCACGTGTTTCATTTTCTTCCATTTTGAAAAATGCATTAAAAAACGAAATTTAATTATTCCTATAATCCAAAGACAAATGCATGAAGTATTGGGATGAATTTTGAAAAGCAACATTATAATGGAAAGAAGTAAAATTCAGAGGTGTTGCAAAAAGGATAATCACTTAGCTATCAACATTATAGAGGTGCATTCATTGGCCGTTTTAGAGAATGAATTCTTATATTTCTACGAATCTAACAGTATATGGAGAAGGATTTTCCACTTGTACATTCCTCCTACATCATTCTTGACATTCCTTCTGCTTTCAAACAATGCGTGGGCAATCAAACTGTTCTTTAAAAAAAAATGGTGAATGATAATTTTTCATGTAGCAAACTGTCAAACTTGATGTACACTAAGCATATTGTATGGAGAATGATATATATTATTTCTATTAACCCAAGAAACCACACAATTGTGGTCACTAAGAAAGCTAGAGATGTTTGAACTATGAGATATAATTTAATGCCTATCCAATGTAGCTCGAACGGTTTAGAAATTCATTGGAATTAATCTTCTTCAAATTAGGTTTTTATTTAAATATGTTTTCTGAGTTGCATGTTAGATCATAGAATGAATTCAAGAGTTATAAGATTATGAATATACAATTATTGAAAAACGTAACCTAGATTTTGTAGGTTTCAAAAGAAAGTATGAAATCTTTGAGGCTTATTCTAAATGAGAATCACGTGCGTGATAATTTTTATATCTTTGATTCGGAATAAAGATATTGGAATTAAGATATAGAAATAGATTCTATTCAGCACTCGAGAGAGGAAATGGAATTAATTTATAATTCTTGCCAATAAATTTTGGAAGAAAATTTGATAGAATTAACTATAGAGGTTGAAAAACATTGTTGACAGTACATTGAAATCATTCCCTAGGCTTCCACAATTTGATAAAAACTTTACAATTTGCCTTCTCTTAATTGCATTGTTCATCTCATTTACGTTAGATTAGTATAAAAACATTGTTACAAAATTTTGATTTTCTAAATAAAGTGTGTTGACACATAAAAATTCAGCCCAAATCGAACAGCCCAAGGAGTAAAGCCCAATTGGAGGATCCCCAAATCAGATAGCCCAAAGAACGAAGTCCAATCGAACGAATCAAGGCGAAGGCCTAAATAAGGGGCCCAAGAATGCGGTAACGTCATCGCCCAAGTTTGCAAGTCGCCCAGAATCTGAACGAATAGAGTGTCATACGGTCGCCCAGAGCTGTTATTCTATTCTCGCCCAAACCTTCAAGTCGTCCAAGGTATCAACAGACATAACGCATCGTGGTTATCAAGAAATGCAGTTATCAAGGCAGTTGTTAAAGTAGCCCTATCACGTTCCACGACTCAAGGAATTCAATCGAAAGCGGTTGAACGATGAAAGATAATG